CACCTAAACTGATTTAGGGTTGAATATTTATGCAACTGAGAATATTCTAATTTTCTTTGAAAATCTAACTTACTTAGATAATATCAGCATTTTTTTAGCTTTCTCTGTTCAGAGTAGATTGTGTAGATTCTAAATATAAAGTCCCATTTTAAACTTTCATGATTGCAAGCTCAGATGACAACAACATGTGGAAACTTTGCAGGGGAGAGAGTACTTTTGCAAGGCATTGTATATTGTTGGACCTCGATAATTTGCCATGAGTGAAACAATGACAGACAAGTCTACCTAACTTCATTATCATTTAAGAGAGTGTGATAAAAAGAATTAACAAAGATCATGATCTACTGTTAGAAACTTTTACGAGAAAAAAGGTTATTTTAACCATATGTAAAGCTGGTGAGGCATCATTTGGTGTATCATAGGCAGTTTAGTTATCTTTATTACAGAAGGATAAGATGAGCTACTAAAGTAATAGCAGTTGAAAACATTTGGTCTATGGGGAGCTTAAAGATTTAAAAATGTTGTCTCTTATACATAGAAGTGACTTGATTTAGGTGTTTACTTTTTATTAAGGCTTGGTGTGTTAAAATTAAAAATAAACTACCAACATCAAGTTAAATATAAGGAGAAATAAGTTTAAGTTTTGGAAACCAAGATTACTCTTTGAATTTCAGTAAAACTACTTTTGTCAGTTGGAAAAATGAATAATAGTTTCTTTGATAATGTGGTATGTGCTATTTATTTACAGTTAATATTTTCCTACACTGAAAATAGATACTTACTTCCACTCACATAATAGATATTTGTTCAGTGCTGCCCTCTATAAGCAAAAAGGTTTTTGCTCACCACTAGACTTACAACTTCCACCTACCTCACATTTCTACATGGTTCAGCTGTGATGTAGCATGGAAATAAGCATGTGACAATCTTCCACCGATAGGAGGTAAGGATCTATCGAAAATATATTTTCAGTGTAGGAAAATATTAACTTCTGATACAATATCTTATCTCTACTCACATAATAGCTAGAATCCCACAATGACGTGGTGGAGGGATCAGTGCAAAATGTACCTAGATGAGCACCCTTTGGAAATCATCCAAAGAACACCCAGTGAGTGTGGATTCTCTTGTTAGAGAAACACACTCATGGGAGACCATACCATATCTGAACCAGATATACTCTTCTCTCTCGATGAATGAATGAATGTGTCACTAAATGGGCTGTAAAAAACCACATGCAAGAATTAGCCATACGTGCATAGGGTATAGAGTGAATAGGGCCCATAAGGTCATAGTCGGGAGGTTAACTCCAACCCAAAGCCAGTGAAACCAGAAATGGATCATCCCATCCACGGTATGAGGAGGGTTTTAAACCACCTTTATTCAGACTGTAAACAGGAGGTCAGCTCCAGTCCAAAACCAGCATATCCGGTAGGAGCAGGGACCTCAAACAACAGTAGTTGGATGTGCCCAGGGTGTAGAGTGGCTAGAACAGATTGGACAATAACTGTAGGTAAACTGTGGTACCAGGAATGGATCAACTGGACCATGATAGGAGGAGGGTCCTTTACCATTTTCATCTCCAACTCAGGAACCAGATGAGAAGGATCACTTCCGTTCCGAGAACCCAAGCTATCCTGTGTGCATACCACCCAACACAACCAAGACCTGTCTCCTCAGTCCAAAACCATGCGGCATTGGGAATGTATCATCCAGTAGAAGGAGGGTATCATGTTAGCTGGTTCAGCTCCAACCAATACCAGTTGCCCAGGTACTGACATCTAGGCAGCAGTAGGAAGGAGGGTTCCCAGTTGAAGGGGAGAACTTCATTTGATGAAAAAATCCAGTCCAAAACCATATGGCACCAGGAATTGTACATCAGGTCTGCAGTAGGAAGATAGTCACACCATCTACACCAACAAAATACCACTGCCCTACTCTCAGCTGAGTGGGATTGAGCACACTCAAGAGGAAGCCTACATGGTCCACCACTCCAGCAGCTAAAAGCTGGTAAGTGGAAGGACTCCCATACTCCACTGGAAGAGGGTGGGAAGATAGTGCATTGGAGAGTCCAGAAGAACACAGCATTGGAGAAAGTGCAATGGGGACCGTAAAACCCTGTTTTCAAAAGCAGTCCATTTCTGATTTATACAATTGAAGGAGCAGCAGGAATAGGCAGCAATCCCCTTCTGCTTTACTCATGCTAATCCATGAGTGTACAGTCTGGGACAGACATACTTATGACACAAAACACCATGACGAAGAACTTACTAGTGGTCTTTCGGAACACCCCATCTGAACAGTGGGTGTTAATGACCTTATTAGCAGTACAGTTCGGATTTAAGAATAAGTATATCTGGATAGACATCACTCTTCACAAAGTAGGATACAATATAGGAAAAAAGTGTGACCCTGTAAGAAAAAGAAAGAAATTAATAAACATACCAAATAACATTTGAACTAATGTGTGTAGTATGGCTACAGGCATAATGCGATATCCGGATGAGAACAAAATGGCCGCCCAAGGGAGCTAATGGGAGATGAATGTGTTGGGTGTGGTCCACCTGCCAGTCTGGATGATTTCCCCCAAATGACAACATAAATGAACATCCAGGGAAAGGTAAGATGTCTAATCTCATGTGATGATCCCTGTATTAGGGAGTCAAGAAATAAGGATGAATATGCCAGCCTAATTTGTTGGTGAATCCAACCTGTAAGGGTGGTGAGTGAAACATCATTTAGAGGGGAAGGGAACCATGGAAGAAAGACGTGCAGGCAATATAACATCTGAGTTCACATAAAAGACATGTAAAACTATCCAGACCCAAATAGTATTAGGGTGAAGTTTGAAATTAATAAACTGCAGTGAGATTACCACTGTTTAAAATGATATGAAAAACAACCAAGTTGTTTAATAAACAGCAAAAAAAACAACAACTAGACAGTGTGAAAAACAAAAAATGTAAATTAAAGTACAATCAAGAGTGAAAATTAACACATCTTAATACTACTGTTCCAAATTAAGAAGTGAAGATTGGGTTCTACAGTATAGAAGGAGAATTTGTCATGCTCCTATTGGTGGAGAGTTGTCACATACTTATTAACATGCTAAAATGCAGCTGAACTACCTAGAAATGTAGGGTAGGTGGGAGTTTCAAGGTTAGTAGCGACTAAAACAATTTGCACATATAAAGGGCAGCACTGAATGAGAAAAGCTATTATGTGATAAGTGGTAAGATATCGTATAGGATTCGCCTTATGTTAAACATTTGTCAGATACATATACACTGGCTGACGAGTTTATTAGGATCTAAACTAATAAAAGGTTGGGCTACTTTTCACCTGAATAACAGCCATGACACGGTGTGACATAAGATCCAAGAATTACTGAAAGTTGCCCCGAAGATTTTTGTTTAATCAATCATGAATATCACATGCAATTCAGGAAGCAAGATATGCAAATGATCATGATGGCAAATGCACCTTTCAACTTTATTCCACAGATGCTTAACCCATTAAGTTCTATGGCTCAGCTGCACATATATATAACTATAACTCTATGCAAATGACTAAAATTACCATTTTATTGTGATTGATGGCAACTCAGTTTTATCTGCGAGTCAGAAAACAAAAACTGAGTTGCTCCTGCCACAGTTAATGGGTTAAGTGGATTGAGATTCAGGGATTTCAATGGCCAAAGAAAATGCCTAAAGTTTCAGTCATGTTTCTTTAACCATGCATCCACAGTTTAGGCATGGTAAATGAGAACATTGTCACCTCAGAAGTAACTGCCCTTGAAGCACTGCTGAATGCACTTTACCAGAAATGATGCTAAAGTCAGATGTGGCATTCATTTTGTCTTTTAAGTGGACCAAAGCACCAAGACTACACTTAGAAAACATGCTCAAACCATAATCCACCACCAGAGGTCTGGACAGTTGGGACCACACAAGATGTATTGAATGATTCATGTGACTTTCTAAAATCTCTCTTCTTCCATCTGTGCATGAAAGGGTAAACATGACTCATCAGACAACATCACTTTTGGCCAGTCCCCATTGGTCCAATGTTTGCACTCCTTAGATCTATCAAAATGTGTTTTATTGTTGGTAACTGAGATAATGATTTACACAATGGCCTGGTACTACCATATTCATTTGTTGCAATGATTTCTCAAAGTACATCTGGAAAAGGATGTGAATTGCCCTACACTGAACATTTCTATCAGTTGATCCATTGTTCTATGATGGTTGGACTTTATCATCCTGTGAAAAAGCTTTCTCCTCTTTCTATCTCTAAGTATTTGTGGCCACATTCACACACACATCACCACCCCCAGCCAATGTATTCACCTTTTGTCATTGCTGATAAACCCAAGTGACTGGTGTTTTGGGGTAGTCTACCGACGAAACTGTCATGGTCACTGTGGTACCTGGTAGACATGCACCCACTATCATGTCCTTTTTTGAATGCTATAATAGTTTTGCCTCTCTCCATACCTATTCAACTGATTACAAACGTGCTTGTCCTAATCATGTATAATGCTGCAGAAACCATCCGAAAGATGATGAGATTGAACGAATTTGCATCTGCAGCTCAGGTCAGGTCAGGCCCAAATGTGAAAGAGTACATAGGTCTTAATAAAGTGGCCAGCCAATGTATATCTGCAAAGAACTATATTTGGTTATGATGCTTTGATCAGTGTCTTGAAAGAGCAGGTGTGACCTCACTGGTAATGATTGTCTGTCACATTTTTACGTAATGTGAGACTAATTAACAGAGTGAAAATATAAACTTTCATTACAGACATATTTATGTGAAAATTATTTCTCTTGAAGTAAATCTAACTCGTATGAAATTCCTGAGTGAAACCTTTTCTGCAAAGAAAATGTTTTCTGATGGATACTACAGTTTCACGAGGCATTTCTAAACTGTTGAAGCTCAAGTTACTTTATTAAATCATTAAGCTATCTATAAATAAATACTGAAATACTACTTACACTGACAAGTTGAACAATATCCCACTCTGCTTGGGAAAGAGAATTTTCTTGACATGGTAACAATGTTTTGGATCTTTCTGTGTCCATTGCTTTGGATTTTAAAATTGCTTTTTATAGCTCTTTAGAAAAAACAGCTCCTTGTGTTTGAAATGTCCTTATTCTTGATACACTCTAAACAAACAAAAATTCAACTTCAGAAACTAAATAATCAAAGTGAAATAACTGTAACTTGCATAACAAAATCCAGATATAAAATTTTTTTTAGCAAAAATGGGATTTCAATAAAAAAAAAGATTTGAACATGAAAAACTTCTTAATGAAACCTGATGTCACACATGGCTCTGTGTAAAAGTGACCTTTATATGGAATAATTCATTTCTTCCCCCAGTATTCACAGTACAGAGTACATGTTATTTATGAAGAATCTCTAAGGTATTATTAAGATAGTTTGAAGATAAAAATAGTTATTGATGACTCTGAAAACACACATAACTTAAGAATTTAGTCAATATAATAAAACACCAATTGAAAACCTATTTAATTTAAAGATAACATCAGAATTAAATGTTATTATTTATACATTTACTATCAAACATGCTCTGACAATATGAGTAGAAAGGTAATGCACGCAAAATAATGAAAAAGTGCACAAATATAAAGAAAATTAATGGTTCAAAGTTTATGTCTGCTGTACTTCATAAAATCAAGATGATACCAATGACTGTTTCACAACTTATACTTTTAGTGTCGCTGAATAAAACATGTTAATCATTATTCAAGTATGCTGTACAATCCATTAAATGTTGATCTGCCTGGCCAACTTAGGAAATATTATTGCATCTGATAAATAGACATAAGCCAGGTTTTATATAAATATGTAAAAATTAATGTTCTTTAATAATAAGTTGGTAAACAATGATTTATAAGCATACTTTGCTTATGAATCATTATTTGCAAACTTATTATGTTAGCATAATGTGCTTCTTTACTCAAGTACCAACACTGTTTAGCATAAAATTATTGTAGAATCATTTATCTTTGGGATTTTTATGAAAAATTCACAACATAAAGATGCAAGAAAGCCTAGATATTTCTAGATTTAAATTTCATATACATGTTAAAATGAATGTTGTTTGGTATCAAATTATTGTAGCATGATTTAGCTTTCAGACTTAAATTACACAACATAAAGAGATAAAAAAGCTTAACTATTTCAAGATTTAGAGACTAGAAATGAGCATACATTTGTTAAGTGTATTTTACACATACATGATTTTTTCACAATTGTTCAGTAAATTTTAAAATCCTATCATCGCCAAAAGCTTCCTTTCTCTTTATCTTAAGCTAAAAATAAAAACTTGAATGTTAGGCCAAAATTAAGTCAGCATTAAACAATGATCAGCAAAAACATTTTTCAGATTTTTTGGAAAAATGTATATCTTATTCTCTTAACACTAAATGTGATATTTATGAAACACTGAGAATGTCCTATCCACTTAAGAAAATAACTCAAAGTTATAATCTTCCTATACTGAAAATATTTTTCCAATGGGTAGTTACCTCTTCTCACATAAATAGCTTTTCTCATTCAGTGCTGCCCTCTACATGCAAATTTTTTTTGCATGCCACAAGCCTTCAGCTCCCATGCAACAAATTTCCACTAATAAGAGTGTAACACACTCTCCTTACACGTGGCTCCCTTTATTTGATTCTACCAAACTATCACTTCGAGTTTTGGGAGAAAATGGAAGCACCGGTTTACAGTTGGAAGTGTGAGAGGATGTAAGTACCCATCAGAAATATCTTTTCAGTACAGGAAAATTACAACTTCTGATACGGTACATTACCTCCGCTCACATAAGTAGCTAGAATCCCAGGTGGAGGGACCAATGCAAGGGGAAAACAAAGGAGCATTCCTTGAAAGCATCCGAAGAACACCCTAAAAAGTAGATCATCAAAGTAGAGGATTAGAGGATCACACATGGGAGACCGCGCCACATCTGTACCAGGTATACTCTTTCCCAGTGTGGAATTAAGTGTCACAGACATGGGCAAAAAAAGGGAGGAGCACATTCATACAGGAGAGAACAAGGCGAGATAAGGATCTGAACCACCAAATTACAAACCCCAATCCCATAGAGTACTGGAATGTGGGTGAAAGTAAAAGGATGTGCACCTAGGTGTAGAGTGGTTAGGGCATGACGGATCGTACCTGGCAAGTCAACTGTATCCAAAACCCAGCCGCCACGAACCAACATTTACGTGGGGGGTAGGATGAGGATCATACCATTGGTAAGTCAACTACAATAAAAAACCAGCCACCGGGAACCAACATCCATGTGGGGGTTGGAAAGAGGATCATACCATCTTCACTTCAAGTTCAGCAGAATAGAGGGAGTCACCAACCAACCACTCCATAAACGGGACACATGATAACAATGTGATAAATTGTTTGACTGATCCAAAAACCCAAAATCCAGGCTATTGGCATAAGAAAGACATCTCGGCAGTGGAAACAGCTCACTCAAAATTATCTGACAGGAACTGCCCCAGTACAATAACATTCTCATTACATGAAAACATTGAGGGATAGCATAAGAGGAAGAACTGCATTAATCTACATGTCCAACAACTGTGGCCCACAACAGGAGTGGAAGGAACAAGAGTATAATTGAGTGATACACAGAGACACCAATAGGACATATGTGAGAACTTGGGTTAATTGGTTCAGTTCTGAATACAAAACCCAGCCACTGGGAACCAACATCTATGCTGGAGTAGGATGAGGGATCCCAATCGAAGGGGTAAACTGCATTTTGATGGCTCAGTCCAAAGATAAAATATCCCCTCAGATAAACCCATATAGAGATGGAGCATCAGATTGGAGGTCATCTCATCATCTACTCCAGCAGAACACCACCCTCCTACTCTCAACTGAATGGTTGTAACATTATTTGTATTATATATCAATACCACATTCAAGAGGTTGCCTCCATGGTCCACCATCCCAGTAGCTTGGAACTGGACAGTGTTAAGGACACCTGTACTCCACTGGAAGCAAAATGGGGGAGAATATTTGGTGGCAAGTCTGGAGAAATGTCAACACCAGAGATAGTACAATGGATAACCATGAAAACCCTAATTTGAAGGCATGGCAGGGCTGGGCAGCTATCCCCTTCTGCTTTGCCCATGAAGTCCACAAGTGAGTGGGCATATTAAAGAAGTAAATATATTGCTAGGAAAAATCTACAAGCAATCTTGAGGAACACCCCATCTCAACAGTGAGCATTTTATGGCCATGGAAATTAGAAATATGCAGTCAACATGACCTGACACTGCAGATTTGACTATTTGAAGCATATCTGATCAGGAAACACTCACCACAGAGCGGGATCCAGACAGTAAAAAAAAGAAAAAAAGGAAAAAGCCCCTGAAAAAGAAGATATATATATATATATACATACATATAAAAGATAATTTACCAAATGACAGTCCCACCAAAGTCTGAAGAATGGCTACAGATGGAAGACGACAACCCGAAGATGAAGACACAGCTATCCAATGCAGATTGTGGGATATGAACGTATGTGGGGTTGTCCACATGCTCTGCTGAAGAATTTCATCCAAGGGAAGATGAAAATGAGATGCCAGAGAAAAGAAAGGTGACTGATCTGATAAGAAGACACCTGGAACAAATTACAGGAAGAAGATATGGAATAATAAGCCAATTGAATCAAAAGCCAAACCCAACTAGTCAGGGTGGAAGGAGAAAGGTCACAGAGGATGTCTGCCAAGGAATGAATAGGTGGAAACGGGCATGACAAAAGGAAGCCGTGTGAGCAACATAACAACAAAAAGTATGAATGGGACATAGTAGCCAATCCAGATCTGACAGAGAACAAAGTTAGAAATGGGAGTATGTGAACTCGTTAAGGAGGAGGATCCACCCTCCCAAGCCACTGAAGTTTTGGGAAGGAAAGATTGATTCCAGCTCAGAAGGGAAGCATCCGTTAAGGTGGGAGAAAGCAGAACACTCACCAATGTGTGCTCCTTGTCCAACCACAAATGCAGATTGCCTACAAGGGAAGGAGAAAGGGGAGTAGGAGCCTCCAATGGATCCTGCACAAGATTCCATTGGCCATGCAGAGCCCACTGAAAAGACCTCATATACACTCAACCCAAGGGAATAAGGGCTTCCATGGAAGACCACATTCCTAAAAGCAATAGAACCTCATGAGCTGTAAAGGATGGACTAGTAAGGGCATGGAGAACTGAAAGCTCCATTGAATGAATCTGAAGAGGAGAAGGTTGAGCCCAATTGAGGTGAGTGTTCAAAAAGACACCCAAATGGACAATATATTGGATACGTATAAGGAATGATTTCTCCAATCTGATTAACCAACTCACATGAGATGCCTCCAGGAGCAGCAGATGAGTGTGGACTCCTGTTCAGAATGAGCTAACAGAAGCCAGCCATCCATGTAATGATGTAAGCATAACCCCCAAGCATGCAAATGTGGGCAAAAGCCTTGACCATCTGACAAAAGACGTACAGACCGAAGCAATCCTGGAGGGCAGGGCAAAAAATTGATAAACAACCCTGTGATGAATGAACCGAAGATAGCACCTCAACTGACGAGATATCAGGACATGCAGATAAGCATTCGCAATGTCTACCTTTGTCATCCACAAACCTGGAGAAAAAGCCCACCTGAGGGTGAGAAAAGACTCTATGGTAAATCGGGGTAGAACAAAAAATTTGATTGAGGCACTACAAATCCATCACAGGCTGCCAGTGCTGGTTTTCTTGGGTACCACAAACAGCCTGGAATAAAAACCTGGAGAAGGATAATTGACAGGTTCGATGGCCTGCTGGGCAAGAAGATCTTGTACCGCCCCAGACAGATGTTGACTGGTGGTAGGATTCTGAGGCACTGGAAAGGAAACAGGTACCTGAGACAACTGAGGAGGGGAAAGAAAATGGATGACAAGTCCCTCAGATAATACCTGAATAGCCCACAGATCTGTGATGAAAATTCACCAAAGGGGAACAAAATCGGTCAAGTGGACCCCCACTGGACTGGAACCAACCACATAGTTGAATAAGATGACAAGATGGAAAACCCCTGGAGGTATGAACAGGCATGGGCTGGGAAGTAAGTGGATGGGAA